CAACTATATATATTTTTTTTTACCAATTTGATTCATTCTATTCATAAAGATATTAAAGTATAAGTATCAAAAAATTAATAGTTTACGACATTTAATATTTTATGTCAATATGGGCCAGAATAAAATATAAAATTTCTCGTAAATCATTGATTTTTCGATAATTTTACCTTAATACTTTTATATGCGGAATAATCAGAGGAATCATATTATAAATAAAATTATACAATTTCATTAAAAAAAATGCTAATACCTATCATATGGCCTTAAAAAATTGATTTTTTTGAAAATTAATTATGTCAATATTTGGGTCCCTTTAAATCGTAGAATTTTTATCTGAAACATTTTTGCGTATCATTCATATTTTCTGAGATATTCGACTCATTATGTTTGAAATAGATCACCCTGTATAATTTTTAACCGAAACTAATCGAAACCGAAACTTCGGTCGGACTCTAGTTATAGTAATACAATTATTCTTTATATGATTTTGTTACTGAAATATTTGCATATAATTAAAAAATGAACTTTCTATAAAAATATATCTAACAATTATTACGTATTTTCCGATTTATAAATTAGCCTTTAGTAAAGTTCAAGAGCCACTTATATTACGAGGAAAAAGATCAAGTACAGGAAACCTTAAAAGCTCTACGGCCTTTAGATGGCAGCAAAATTATATATTACAAAAACGGAATCAACCAAGGTGATGCCTTTATAGACATCAACAAGGGCGCGTACTATCCAGGGATTTCATTATACAAGAGCGCGATGGTTTCTGTGAATTTTGGACCGAATTTTAAATATCCTCCAACGGATGTTACATTTAGAGGCGTAAGTAAACTCACATTTTTTACTGTTCAAGTAAATTCACGTCTTTACTGCTATCTAATAATCGACAATGTTAATTCACAATCAATTGTTGTCAATTGAATAAGAAGATTGAGTTGCCACTCTACCGTCTTGCCATGAAAAAGTGAGAATTTACATTATACGTTCAGACATACTGATGATGGTTCGGAAGCAGGCCGAAACGTTTATGCGTAACTAATTTATACTATATTTCGACAATAAACGATTTTTATTTTCGTACTAACAACCGCGTAAAAAACTCTCATTAGCCCTTATTTGTTCTTTATCTTGACATTCTCGAGAGTTTGGTTATTTGTTTTGTTAATAATATGTTATTAAAATATGGAATTTTAATTAAAATGCGGTTCATACAAAATCTGATTCTTCGGGGCCATTTTACAATTTTTACGGAGTCTGAAATCAACTTGCAACTCAAATAGTTTATCACTTTTAGAAAACGTTAAACTACAATTAAATGACTTGTGAATATACAACGAACACAAATATGACGTTGCAAAACAAGTGACAAAATACATATAAACAATAGACCAAAGCGCGAAATTCAATCTTGAGCGTTTCGATGCTGTGAAATGATTGTCCAACATATTTTCGGCATGTACAAACTTATAAATGTTCTAGATAAATGTTTATCGTCATTTAGACTTCTTATGAAATATTTAAACAAAAATTTGTATATAGATCGCTGTCATGTAATGGCTTTCCAGTAAAACGTAGGGTGTTCCCAAACTTATGGAGGATACTGTATATTTGGACCATACCGAAATCAATTCATTAAAAAAAAATATATATGTGAAATTCTTTCTTTTACGTACTTATATTCAGGAGACAAAATACTCAAAAAATTGTATTTAAATACAAAATACTTTCAAAAAAGTATTTAAATACAAAATACTCAATAAAATAAAAATATATTTAAATACGTATTTTAAAACATGTCTTTCAAGTACTGCCCACCCTTGCTTGTATTAGTCATCAAACTTTCAATTTTGCAAGGATTTAGCGGTTTTTTAATAATTCTAAATAACATCAATAATTCTTACTAATGTTACTGACACTAAACAATTATCATAGATGCACGAGAAGGCGGAGGAAGCGATAGCCGAGCAGTCAATGGCGGACATACTCTATCTTACCGAAAATGAAGGCAAATTAAGACTGGATACATTCGTATTGTGACATTAGTGCATCTTTTTATTTTTGTCATTTACGTTATACATTATGCAGTTACGATTGCAGGGATGGACACAACAATACATGGAGCCAAAACAAAAAAAGAAAATAAATTATGAGAAATTTAATTTCTATTTATGTGAATATGTGCATACTTACTAAAAGCTCTGGTCTTTTTAGTATATAGTGAAATAAATTCAGAGAAATGATGATGGAGAAAGCGTTAAATATCATCAATTAAAATTTTGTGCTTCATTGTATTGTTGAACCAAAACCTTGCAACTAATAAAAGATCGAGTGCAACAATAGTTGAGAAGACGATTCAAATATTTTTTGAGAAAATGAATCCTAAAGTTACGACTGATGAAATGATATTTTGATTAATAAACTCTTGATTTTTTGTTATTATTTTTATCTCTATTATAATATAAATGTTTTAATTCTGTTCTATTCCATGTTCCGATTTTTCAAATTAAAAAGTTTTTTCATTATCTGATCACAGCGGAATAGGTTTATTATGTGATACTTATGCTATATAAATTATTTTTGCAACTTAAATTATTACCTTTATACTTATAATTAATCATTAAATCATTACACGTTACTTTCCGAAACCGCCCCTGCAAGCAGGACTCGCAGCCACTGTTTTATTGCTTGCTTCCCATTGCTCTGGTGTTTTCGCCTTGAAGACAACAATAATACACATAACAATAATTTTTTTATCTAGCCGATTTTAAAAAGGGTACTATTTTTCTTACATGCTAATAGTGAAGAATTAATTAATAAATAATATTAATCACTTACTATAATTGATAGAGCATGTACACCTCCTTGCAGTTCTGCTTGCAATAACTGGTTTATCATTCGGTGTCGCTAAATTAATAATTAATTCAAGTATCCTTTCTATTATACTAAGTACGAGAAATAACATCTAGTCCTTAATCTCGTAATTATGTAAGTTCATAAATGAATACCATTTATTTTCTATTATTTTATTTGCTTTAAATAATGCTATTATTTTCCATATGATTTAATTTGATACATCTTATACTTTATATTTTATCCCATAATTAATTAAAATTTTTTTAACCCAAGAGGTTTAAAATCAATTATTAAAAAATGAAACATTTAATAAGAGATTTAATAAGAAAACATTTAATTAAACAACACTAAAAATCGGTGGTACTTGCCTTGATCAATGGCTGCTTATCAAATGTTTCTGCTACAACCACTACCTTAAAATGTGTCTCAGAGTTTTTGGGAACATTGTGCATATAGGATTCATTAATCACTTCGCAGTGAAGGGGTTTTAGCGCAGCTTCCAACTTTTCCTTAATTGAACTCTCTATAGGCCTGATGAGTGCTTCACAACTACTCATGTCTTGTTGATGACGAATCATATTGTAATCTATGTTATTGTTTTATTCAATTAATATTAATATATATCTTTATTACAAATAACGCATTATATATAATATTTGCATAAGGCAAAAAGGCTTTAAAGAAGTACCAGTAAATAAGGATAAATTCTGCCTTGCAGAACCTAAAATATCTTTTAAAAATCCTTCGTCCTAAGAAGTACGAAAATAAGCTATTGGCTGCGTTCAGCAAAGCAGCTTTGCAACTGTTGTAAAATTCTTCAGTATAATTGATTCCATCGCGAGATAGAATTTGGCCTAATTAACTGGTACTCCTTATATTTAAATGCTAGGATTTCTATTTAAAAAATAAAACAGATATCTGCACTTGTATATTAATTGCTATGATGGTCAGAGTATCTTAAGATGCTAGAATGAAAATTACTGAAAGTGTATAAAGATACTAGTTATACACATAGTTTACTTAAAAGAGACTTATAGAAAAGTAGGTTGAGAAAATCTAGCTAATGCTCAATTTCTTCATTTCTAGATAAGTTGCAGATAATCTTATCCAGGAGATATCTCCATTGTATTCTATGAGATATCTCTTGGATAAAGTTATCCAGAGGTGAAGAAATTGGGCATAAATATTCCTGTAAGCATGACGTTAACAATATATTAGTAGATTGCCAGCAGATTAAAGCAGACTATTGTGATAAAATAGTATCAGCTACATTTGCATTAAAGTCCATTCTACAATTGTTAAATTAACCAATTACAATCAAATATTCTTTTCATGTTCAACTGTAATTGGTCATTTCTTACAATTATAATTGCTTACAACTATGCTTATGCAATTGTGGAACAAATTTAAGCCTGTATTCTGCGATCAGAATTGATATAGAGTGTTTTCCATTTGGTGATACAAGTCAACATAAGTATCTACATATCTTTGTTAAGTCCATTCTACAATTGCGTAAGTGTAGTTGTAAGTGTTATAGTTGTAAGAATTAACCAATCATAATCAAACATGAGGAAAATATTTGACTGTGATTAGTCAATTCTTACAACTACAACCACTTACAACTATGCTTACGCAATTGTAGAATGGGCTTTACTCTCTGAAGATCAAGAAAAATGGAATGATATTTGGGTCGCTAGATGGAAAACACCTGTTATTTGACAACAAATTGTCCAGGAATTAAGTAGAGCCTGTTAATTGCTAATCATTTAAGTAGAATATCATTAAAATGATTACAAAATCTGTTTGATTTCTGCAGTCGATTGACCATTATATTTCATTAATAGATTCTGTTAGATTTCTGTTGACATTCTGCTAATAAAATTAGTAGCACATGCTTTGCGAAATCTGTTGCCGACAGATTTGATTGTCTGAAATAAAGCATGCTCACTGATGCTCACTCCTTATAGATTTTAACGAAATTTTGTCCACATGTATTTTAATGTATAGAATAAACGTGTGATAATAAAAATCATCACTAGGCATTGCGAGTTGCAAGAAGAGCAATCAACCATTAATAAGTGATATTTTTAAGGTTAGGAAATTGTACCTTTATGAGTCTTCCAATGTAACGCGTTTTTATATAATTATCTTATCATTACTTGCAACTAATTACTTCGTCATATATATGAGAAATAAATTTGTAATTAAAATACACGTGCAATAATATTTGCTCTTGTAGAGGAGAAGCAGTAATGAAGATGCAATCTTAGTCTTAATTTAGAGCATATAATTCTATAATCATCTTTTAAACGTAAAACAATTTTAATCGCTTTAAATACTCACTTTTTTTAAGTATTAATCTTATCGATCTTGCTTTATGCATTTATTTAGTTTATATATATTTGTATGTATATAGATAATTGTTCAATTTAGCCACATCACCTCAAAAATCGATGAAATTAGGCTCATTCAACGTGTTTTTGGCCGAAACGAATGAATCTAGCAGAGAAAAGCTCGCTCTGCCCCGCAATTTAAATCGTTAAAGTTTACAACTATTCAGGTTAGGAAATCTGTCAGCCACGAAATACTGCGAAGCGAGCAGCGAGCATGTCATAAAGCGGGGAACACAACTCTTGCGTAACGCATACACACAAAACATAAGAAATTCAACCAGAGTTCTTTATTTCAGCAAAAGGAAGAAAACGAAATATAAATGAGTGTTTTCTTAAGTGATTTTATTTCTATCGGAATTAAACTCGCAAGGGAATCAAATGCTTGAAATTTATCAAGAATTGTCATTCGAGAATCGGGAAGTCGCTCAAAGAAATTCAAGTAATGGTTAAAATAATATATGTATAATTTAATGCAATGTTTTATAATACATTACAATGTATAATAAGAAATTCTTTTACAGTAATTTATTCCATGTTTGTTAAGTAGCCTCAACCATATTAGAATCGTAATACCATAAATGAGAAATGGTACATTAAAATTTCTTACATCAGAAGTTCTAATATTCTTCACATACTTATAATTAATATTTATAATTAATAGATGTTTGAAATTACATGCTTACATTATTTCCGACAATAAAGCAATTATTATATAGATCAATCTTAATATAAAACAATTATTCTAACTTTAAGTGACACAAGCATAATTAACATAATCTTTTTTTGTACTTTTTATGCATTTACATTCAAGACTCAATAATACATTTAGTATTTATTTTAATAAATAGCTTACTCAATACTTTTGTTATTTATCTGATTATCGCTCGACGATATGGAATGTCCACTTCCTATTATCTTGATGCATTCATTGATATTTTCGGCATTGTTACTGGAATGTCCGCTGTCATTTGATCCTTGCTGCTTTTTGGCTTTCGTTCTTTCTACAGGCAACGCCTCATCCTCATCATTGTCATCAGAATCCTCAAATTCGTCAGAATCAATTTCTAAATCTAACATGGTCTTGCGTTTGTTGGGTTTATTGTTCTCCTCCTGCTTCCTCTTGATACCCGATGTGCTCGCAGCTTTGAATCCTTCTTCTATGGCATCTCCAACTCTCTCGGTCAATTCCGCACGTTCCTGGTCATAACGCTGATCTTTAAATTCATGTTTTGGCTCGGTGCAGAGTTTTTCTAGCTTCTTTTTCCTGCGTTCCACCTCCTCCTTCTCTCTCTTGGCCTGTTTATCGATCCAAGCTTTCAGCCTTTTTTCTTCATTTATGTCGCGCAATCTGCGACCACTGAGATCTCTGCAAGCTTCGCGATTTGTGGTTTTCTCAATCTGCGCACCTATCGCGCGTAACATAGATCCAAAACCACCTTTGCCCCCCAACAGTCTTGGAACTACAGTTGCATAGCCATTCGAGCAAATATCATCTTCCTGTACGAGTCGACCATTGTGCAGGACATAATATTGACCATGTGAAAGATTCTGAAAAGAAGAATTATTAATTCGTGTGTGATATTTCTTTGTTAATATTATATTTGATAAGTTTCCCCATAATTTAAATTTTGATAAAAATACATTCTTTTTATGCAAAACAAGGATTAAAAACTCATAGTAGTTTCAAAAATAATTAAACATGTATGTATATGATATATCTAAAAATTAGAAAATATATGATACATATGATTATATTTGGCATGAAAAAAATTAGAAATCCATCTGAAATTAATTACAGACTACATTTTGTATTGCAAGTATCAGGCAATATGGGACCTTGTTTTGTGTATAAAACTAAAGAAAATTGAAAACTCATGTAGAACTGTATAATCATGGACTTTATTTGGCATAGAAAATACTGATCATTATATAGTTTTTCTATTTTGCACATGTTATTCATCTCTTGTTACTCAATATTTTTAATATGAAATGAATGTACCTATAATTATGATTCTATATGGATTTTAATTTTCTAAGTCTTTTATATTGGCCAGAGCAGTAAAAAATAAGGTCTATTATTGCAGAGTTCTTTAAACTTTTCACGTAAAGCAAGATCTATCCTGAATCTTCTCTTGCTTTCTGTACATGATGCAATATCAATTATGCTATTTTAGTTTTAGTTTATAACCATGATTTAAGTCCAACAAATTGAATCTGCACACAATTTATAGAACTGAAAAGTGTACTAGTGAAAATTTGCGTATTATTGAGCACGAAGATCCACATTGAAAATAGGATTCTTTCTTTCACACTTATTTAATTTATTCTTGTCAGTTTAATTATTGGATGAAACATCAGGTTAAGCTTACCCACAAGTTAACCAGATAATGAAAAACAGGGCCTTAATAATAAATTCTTTGTTTAAGATTATGTTAATCTCATAATCTTAAAAAGATTAAATTCTTCATTAACGCTGAAACTATGTAAACCGATTTGCATTCAATTGCACTAACTTTCCCACTGGAAAACGCTACAAGAATTTCAAGGAATAAAAAATAATTTAAGGTTAAGTTACAAAACAATTTAAGGTCTATCACTTACCGTTTCTCTCTCAATTTCTTGTTTTAATTCTTGCACAGAGACCGGCGTGTTGAAACTGCATTTCAAGGATACTCCCAGGATCTTCACATTCAACATTTTTACTTATATAAAATTTGTTTTTGGACTACAAGTGCAAACAAACGTAACTTATCCCAAGATGGCAAGATGGGAATGATGGGATTGTGCATTGTGCTGTGTGCAGTGCAGGATTGTCAGATTTTTTTAATGCTGGATTCACATTGCATCCGATTTGCGTCGTATGACGCTCTGCAACCAATCAGAAAACAGGATTCCAATGATACGAAGCAAAATCCATTGGAATCTTGTTTTCTGATTGGTTGCAGAGCGTTGTACGACGCAAATCGAATGCAGTGTGAATACAGCATTACAGGTGTCGTCGCCGATTGAAGGCGCTCATGTCGCCTAAAGATAAATTTCCAAACCGGCTGTTTCCGTGACAAAAGGAATCACGTGGTTTGATATTCGTCAAAATTGACGAATATCAAACGCCCATTTTGATCACGTTATCCTTTTTGTCGCTAAAACAGCCGGTTAGAGCAACTCGTGAAAATTTATCTTAAAAGTTAAAGGCTGTTCCAAGATTGTTTGCCAGTGGGTAGCACCCAGTTGGACATGGCTCAATTAGACACGAGCCACTCACAGCGCTTGAGACTACATAGCTCCTAAGCACCGGTCGCTGTGATTGGTGGTGTCCAATCGAGCCATGGTCAATCGGGATCGCTCCTTGCCAGCACTGTCAACATCGTTCCAAAAATCATTGTAGCACGCTGTGGCAGTGCTGCGAGAGAGTAAAGCGGGGAGCACAGACTCTTGCATAACGCATAACATATGAGGCATAAGAAATTGAACCAACCAGAGTTCTCTATTACATGGAAGGGAAAGAAACGGAGAACT